AGCACTGAATTTCTCTGTGAGAAACACCTGTCTGATTTTCTTCTGATGTTTACCTTCTACATTCATTCTACATTGGATACTGTATCTCCAATTCTTCTCTCATCCACAGTAGCACATCCCAGTGCAGAGCTGCCTGGATGGGTCAGTCACCTGCCCCTAATCCTTCCCCAGAGATGGTGCCTCAGGGTAAGAGACAGTGTGATGCTAAAGCATGCCTGGCATTATACACAGCCGAGGGACTTGTGGGTCCCTGTGTTCATGAAGTTGTAACAGATTCATGACCCAGCATGTTCAGTCTTATGCGTAGGAACCCCTGGGAAAGTGAGAACACTATAGAATCAATAAGTAAAGTGCAGCTGCCTCTCTGGGAAACTTTGTCTTTCCTCAGATAGAGCAATTAAATACAACATGTCTTCTTAATATTCAGTTTTCTACATCTGTTTTTAAGTGGATGTCAATGGGGTCGTCCTCTGATGCTGTAGGCCATAAAATGTCATGTTATCACAGTATTTTAGCTGCAGAGATATCACTGCTAACTCCTGTGGAACCAGTGTGAAAAAGTGCTCTCACTTATATTTAACAACTCCAGCATCTGAAAAGTCTATTTCTTCTGCGTAGGCAGCTTTTTGTACATAGTTCCTTATTTTATGAATGCTAGTTTTGTGGTTGTGCCACTGTGGGGCTGTGGCTGCCGTGGTGATGCCTGTTTGTCCTCAGTGTCCTGTGTGTCTATTTTCCCACTCACACAAGCAGCCTGATGTTGCGGTGGGGATAGCAGCCAAGGGCCGGTGTGTAACATCCAGTATACAGAGGGCAATTCTGTCTAACTGCTCCTCAACGTATTAACCTATAATTAGTCCAGAGCCAGTAAGCTACAGAAGAAGAGAAGCTTGAAACAGAGCATTGAGTCAGATGGAAAGGATAGTTCAAAGCTCCAATAACCTGTCTGAAAAAGTTCACGTTTCCCTTTGTACAAGCACAGAAATAGTTTGTTTTCCAAATAATTTCCTTTTGTATACCCATCCACTTACTACTCAGCAACTTTTCACTGGTGTGAGCTACTTTTGCACTTAACAGACTGTTTTGGATTGGATTACAACTGTAAAGCTGTTGATGGTACTTGAGCTCAATGTTTGTTTGGCAGAAGTGTGTCCATGTCTTCCACACAGAGTCCCTCATGCTTCTGTTGCAGCTTCTCTGAAAGCAAGAGATTCTCATAAATTATCTTGTGTGTTCTTCTTCATTTCAGACTGATGTTACCCAGCAAGTCAGGGTGATCCTGGCAGCCACTGGAATCACAGTTTATCAGCAGCCATGTGACAGATCATAACCCACTAAGATTTCCTGTAACCTTAACTAGGCCACATGACTGAAGCCAAGTAATCTTTTACTTGTACTCTTCTTCATTATGGCATAAAGAAGAACTAGAAGTAAGCTATGCCTTTGCCAATACCAAAAAGAAGAAATGATGTAGCTTAAATTACTCACTGCATATAGAAGCTATCAGAAAACCAAAGAAAGTATACAAAATGAGGTGCTTTCACATTTTATTTGTTAAATAATTTCTGAAGGAAATTGTAGATGTTAATAGCTACTGTTATTTATAAGGGTAGGAGTGAAAGTGCTAGGAATCAGTCCACTGACAAGGTAAAGAAGATGAGAAACCAAGACAAAGAACAAAAAACGAGAGTCTTTTCTTCAAACCATTACTCAATGAAGACAAATTTACAAGAAATGTAGCAGTCAGTACAAAATGTGGATTGAGGTTTACAGATAAGAGAAGTTTGGAAGTATCACCAGAATCCATGAGAACACAGCTAAAAGAAGAGATACAGTTAAAGTGTCTTTGTCAATACTTTGTTAAATGAGATCTGGTGATTTTCAGAGACACTGAGAAGAGGTTATTTGCACCTCCTGACTTCAGGCACCCTAAACTGGGAGTCTGGACTCCTGTACAGTCAATGCAGGCTGCCTTAGAGGGCTGGCCAAAATCAGGAGGTTAACTTTGATGTTTAAAGTCTCCTTCACAATGGATACAGAGGAAAACCATCCTTACTTAGCTACCTACCTCAAGTGTTCCTAGTAAGAGATTGTAAATAATTTCTATCAGATGCTGTCATGTTAATAGTCAGCACATTTGCTAATGAAGCAGATACAACATTCCAGGTATGGCCATTTGACCTTGTGTTAGGAATATGTGTTCTGAAATTGTCACTTCAATTCACATAATTAACAAATGGATTATTTGTGTTATTGCTGATAACTAGGTCTAAATAAGGTTATTGAAATAAATTGACTCTGCTGTGTGAGGAGAGTGAAAACCATGTTTGCCAATGAAAACATTAATAAGTAATCAAAGGACAGAATAAGATTTAATTAAAAAGGCATATAAAGGAAGGCAGAAAGCCAGAATAAAAAGACAGAAAAGTAGCAGTAACTAATAAATACAGATGAGGTGTTGTATTCAGCAGTCCAGGAAGGAAAAGAGACAGACAGAGACAAGAGTGTTTCACTTATTCTCAAGTACAAAGAATTACCAGCTATAGTACAGCCCTGACCCTTTATTCCAGTAAAATATTTTTTGTTTTAGGTATGAAAAGATGATGATGCAAATCAGAGTTCTCCATTAAATTGCTTAAAAATTGGCAAATTGTTAAGTCCAGATTCTATTAATAGTTTTCTGACTGGTACATTAATTCCCAAAAATCAAACATCTATCTGAAATTAGATCTGCAGAGATCTAGGATAGTCTTTTAAGTAAGGAGAATTATTTCACTAACAAAATATTATTATAGATTTTTTTTAATGGGGAAAAAATGAAGTTCATTAAAATCACTTTCCTCACCAGGAGAACATGGCCTAAAAATAATGTAATTTAATTTATTATGGGTTGTTTTCATCATCTCATCAATTTTCCTGTGCCACATTAATGTTTCTTTTAGTGGATTGAAATGCTTACCAAAGAATTTCTTTTTTATCAATCATGTTTTCAGATTTTGGTAAGACATCTAAAGATCTTCTTCAAAGACAAATCACATTTGAAATGGTTACAATTAAATGGCATACCTGAACTAAAAACAATATAAATATTGTAACAAGCATATCAGTTTGTTGCTCTTTGTGTATGATCACTGAAGATACTTTCAAACAATGAAAACATGAAAAACACAAGGTAGACTACAGTTTTAAGTTCCTTACAGAGAAGTTAAATGCTTGCTCTAGTTCTTCACTCACTGATATTCCACAGTATGTTTAATAACAATAAATTAATCCATCAATCAAGGACACTGAAATCAGGATCCGTATTATATCCTGTAGCCAAGTGAGAGACTGAAGAGATGGGACTGTCACCTGAAGGGGAGGGGTGGGAGGGTGGGATTTCCTAAAATCCTTTTTGTTTGTTTGGTCTGTGAGCATCCCAGGAAAGCTGAGATCCTTGTGTCTGACCAGTCTGTCTGTGTCCCATTATGGGCACACTCAGTGCTGGATCAGAGGGTGGTTTGAGTAATATGTTCAGGGTCACAGCACAAGAGGCACCCCTGCAGAGTCTCCACTCTTTGTCGAGTATGTCACCCACTGCCAGTGACTGCCGTCAACACTCACTGTGCATGGAATAACACACTTGATTTATTTACACCCTGTTAGCAGAAAAGTGTGACAGGTTAAGGTGTGAAAATTTGAAAATTTTAAAAGGTTTGAAAAGGTGATAGTATCTGACTGCAAAAATGTATTCAAAGCAGTATGAAGACATGCTCTAATCACCAATAAAGTTAGCTCTAGGTAATAATTTAGCTAGCATAGAATATGGTTCTTATCCAATGGACATCCCAATGGGGGAGAAGAGAGGTTCAGCCCATCAGCTGATCCCAGAAGTTACAGTGGGGTCTTCCCTAACTTCTCCCCATTCTTAACTTACTCTTAAACTATTTCTTTATGTTTAATTGGAGGTTGAGTGGCTCTAGTCATGCATACCCTTGTTAATGATGGGTTCACTCTAAAAATTATAATCAATAAAATATAGAGCACGTGCTCAGTGAAAGGCAGTTGTACCTTTACAGTGAGTAATTTGGGATGTGTGTTAGTCTAATAATTAGATTATAATGATCCCAGTTCATCCTAGGAGAGCCATTTCATCCCAGTTGCTGGTTCAGCTCCATACCCTCCCTACAAGCGATGCAGCTTCTACTTCCTCTCTATTAAATATTTTGTAGCAGTGATATTAAACTGATATTGTACTGCATTGCTACTTGAAGGGTAAAGATGAAAGCAGACATTGAAAGAAAGAAAATACAAACACTTTTAATAATCATTAAAAATCATTTGATTATTAAAAAAAATTAATAATCAAACTTTTTCTGAAAAATCTGTGTAACAGGGCCCAGTTGTCTTCTGTCATTGCTATATTTGGCATTTATAGAAGGAGGCATGTCTTCCTGAGTTTCATCCAGTGGTATTAGCCTGACCTACCATGTCAGGCTGGGGGAGTATGAGGAAAAGACAGATGGAGAGAAGATGAAAAATTAAGTCAAGGAAAGGGGGAAAAAATGTTGAGGGATTGAAGTAAGAGCGACAAAGAAACAAATACCTGCTCTGTTCCAAGAATGAAAAGTGAGAATAAGAAAGGCAAAAAGGAAGATTTCAAGCTTGTAAAACAAAACTGTGGAATGAAAGAGACTGAGAAACTTCATTCTAGCAGGCAAGAACTGGCTGGAACAATATTGTGGTGAGCAGATAATGGGAAATATTTTAAACGTGCTAACTGGAGAAAAATACAGAAGGTGAACAAAGACAGTTGTAAGTGCCCAAAGTAGAGGGTATAGTATTGAATGCTGCACACACAAAACAATCAATACATTCCAGTAAAACTTAGTGGACTCTTTGTATTCTGTAGATGGCATGTAACTGTTTATAAGTTATTTATACAAGCCCTCTGGGAAGGTATCAAAATGTATCAGTCCTGGTTAGACATATTTTAGGCTCTGTCATGGGTAGATGGTTGTTTACAAGTTCTGAACCAGCAGCTGGTCTTCCTGAGGGTTCTCCAGGACAACCAGATACTTTCCACTTTCATAGGAGATGCAGTTGCAGGAGGCAATGTGCAGCTTGCCTTGGCCTATGTTACCAAATGTACCCTGAGATTAGGGAAAAATGTTGAACCACCAGAGGTCCAAAGCATGGTTTGAAGAATACCTGCAGTCCAAGAAAGAATCAAGTGTTCCCAAAGAGATTTGGAAGTAGCATCTCATGCAGAAGAAAAGGCTGGGTACAGGCATGAGGTATCTATATGAACTTGCAAAGGTGCTGGACTAAAAGAGCAGCCTGGAAGGGTATGAAAGTTGAATAAGCAGCTGGCTGTGGGAAATGAGAAACAGAATAGAAAAATTTTCACTATGATATTTTAAATAACTCTTCTACACGTGAAAATATATACAGTATAATTAAGCTACTTATTACAAGCTTTATAATTAAGAGGACTTTGGGCTATAGTTTCCTATCAGAAATCCCTATAGACATTGCCAATTCCAAAACATCTTTCTGCACTTAATGCTCTTTACTTTATGTGCCTTTTTACCTTAAACTGTCTTAAATGTTGAAGAAACTGCTTTCTTAGCATTTTTTAAAGAAGCATGATATTTATTCCACATCTGGAAACAATGCATTATATAGCTCCCTCAGAACATTTTTTCTAATGTATATTTTGGGAACCTTAGAAATTTCTGTTATTTTTATCATGATATGTTAAGTATAGATGTTGAGTCTTGCTGACAAGTCGTTTTTCAAAACCTTATCATATGTCAATGAGTGGGTGGTCCTGATGTCAGGAAGTGATTGTGAAGGGAAACCTGGTTGAGGTAAGAAAACACGAAGAGTTAAAATCTGCCCAGAGGCAGGTGGGTCACCACATTAATGTTGTGTGGCTTTTTATTATGATAGTATAATTTTGAGTATTTGATATGGCATCATTCATACATAGTAATTCCGTTGTAAATTCACGTGATATGAAATATTTAGGAGAAAAAGGCCACAATATATAAAAAATGTCATCCACAAGTTTTCACCAAAACCACAAGGATCAGTTTTCACAATCTTCTAAAAAAACTTACAATTTCTGAGAATTTTCTGTGAAGTATTTACCCCAGGCATAAGAACCTTTTAAGAAAACCTCCTTAATATGCACCTTGACAACTCTGCACATAAGTGGCAGTATTTTACTGTTTTACTATTTTTCAAGGTCCTATTATGAGACTTAAAAACAGCACAAACCCAAAACCAAACTGCTGTACACCTCTTGCAGATTATAAACCCAAAAGTACTAAAACGTCACTTTCCTAATAACAGACCCGAGACCAGAAATTTTGTGCTATTCTATTACAAGACTGGCAAGCAATAGCAAAGGACTCAAACACAGCAGTATTTTGATTTGCTAACTGCTATCAACAATATGTGAGGGATAACTCCTTTTTTTCTTCCATTACTGAGTCAATATGATTTGCACGGAGGAAATGAAGAAATCAAACGTTGCCCTTTTTAGCCATGTACTCACGTGTGGGCAGATCTGGTGGTAACATCTGTGACATTGCCAGCTACACACCTCCATAGCACGGTCATGCTGTGACAGCCACAGTCACTTTGGCATCCTATTTGATGTGTGCCAAAAGGATGATGTGAGGAAGCCTTTCAAATCCCTGCCTCCTGCAAGACCCAGACCATGAGTCCTACTGCAGTTTGAACATTTCACACCTCCTCCCTCAAATAGTACAAACTAATGAAAATAAAACCACATCAAATTTCTTTCCCAAAGGAAACAGGCTTCGAGTAAATGTTGTTATGTTGATTCCACTTGGCTGCACTGAATTTTATAGCATCCTTTGGAGGATCATTTGCAAAAGACCATATGGCTCACAAAGTTTTTCCTCAGATAGGTCAGGTACTACTGCAAAGATGCCAAGATCCCAAAGCTCTCCTCATCAGGAAAGACCTGTCCCTTTTTCCCTTTTTTCAAGGCAAGAAGGAACTGTGGTGTGTAAATATTGCAGTCCATACCCTCTGTAACTGTCTTGTTTGAACATATGAATACTGCTTCTTTAAGAAAAACAGACACTGGCACCAGTGTAAGAATGTATGTTTTAATATTTGCACACACAGATATCGGTCTGTTCAGAGCGAAAAGGCTGAAGAACAGGCACACACAACTGGCACAAAAGGGGAGCTGACCTTTCAGTATTTACCCTGGTGGTGTTTGCAGTGGCACCTACCTGGCTGACGTTGGCGACGCCGTTTTGGAAAGCGCCAATAAGACTTTGCAAACCTGAAAGCTTCTTTGCAAAGCTTACTCTATACTGCTTGCTTGAACTTCCTCTGCTGGGCCCCCACTTTCTGTAAGCAACTAATTATGTTTTATAACATAAACAGGTCAGTATTTTGATGTGTATATCCTGCACTCCCTTAAAGGTGCTATTCCTTCAAAGCAGCAACTCAAATCCTCACATACCCTCTTGCGGCTGTAGCTGTAGCAGTAGCTGTGTGGATTTACCTTCCACTGCAGCAGCTGTGGATGCAGAATTTTCCCCAGTCCTTGGCTGTGGTGCTCTGTTTTAACAGTGGGTTCAAGGAAAGAGGAAGTTTGCATTATGGGATGCAGAACATCAGAACATGGAAGACTGATGAAATGGGAGCTTCCTAGGAAAAAGCAGTTCTCTAATAAACATCCCTTTATATTTTTCAGCCACCTGTATACCCAGGCCCATACTGCTGCTGAATGTAGGATTTTTTTAATGCACAGACTTGTTATACAGGCAAAAAAGGTAGTAAATAAATGACATATTTATTTAGAAATGTGTACAGTTATTCTGAGTGGCAAGGGAGGAAGTTAAGGAATTGTAAAGACATTGCTCCTGAGGAGTATTCATATTTCCCAATATGAGGCAGGTAAGCAAACTCAGTAACAAAGTTGAAGATAAAATAAAGGGCTGGGTCTTGCTCTAAGAGATTACAGAGTGTGGTTTCTTGTGGGTGGAAGGACACAGCAGACATGTGGAAGGAAGGGGAAGCGTGGGACTGGGATAGAAGAAAGTAGATAGGAGAACTGGCTGATTTCCTTCAATTAACATTTGACACTGTTTAGTTTAAAGAAGAAATGAGGGAAGAATGTACCTGCACCACCTGCATTGGAGGCACAGAACTGAAAGCTGCTGCTGCTGCTGAGGGTGACAGCCCATCCACATCATGGTATCCTTGCACTGGTTTTAGTCTTCCATGTTAATATCTGCATCTCCTTGATATTACCAAATGTGCCACATGAATCAATTCCCAAAGCCACCATTGCCTTAAAAAAGACACTGCAGAAGAGCCCTCTTCCTGATGCTGGAAAATAATTTACCCAGCATGAGGAATGAGTATTTAGAGGTGCTAACAGTCAAGGTTACACACTGAATTGTAAATGACTGGCAAATAAGCTATTAATTAAAATAGAAATTGATTCCATCTTGTGGGATTTAAGGAGAAATAAGATTCTCACAAGGTCTCTTTTGAGTGCTCTTTTAGTACAGCTAAAGGCGGTATTTTAATTTTCAAATAATCCAACCCCATAATTAAAGTTACATTTTTGCCACAAATTTTAAAATATTAATGAAACTTGAATAAGTCTGGCTGAAGTGCTCCCGGGCAAAATATAGAAATATGCTAATAACCACCTTCTTCAAAGTTCTATTTATGAAAGAGCCATATTCCTACTGACAAAGTTCATTGCTTTCATTGTCCTTCATAGTTCTAATTAAAACTTCCTTTATGAATCAATTTTTAAAACATTCCTTCCTTTCATGAGCTTGTGGAAACTTATATTTAATTACATTTATCTGGAAATTTACAGGGAATAGAATAATAACAAAAATTAATAATATTAAAATATTTTTTTAAATATTGTGTTGATTTTTGTCATTTGCAATGAGTTGGTATTGAAAACTGAGGCGATATGTAGGATGACATAAATTAATTCTTAATAAGTTGACCATAACTGCCCATACTGGTATAATCTATAAAGACCTTGTTTTGCACAGCAGGGTATGAGTGCTTTATATAGAAGAAAAAAAAAAAGGATTACTAACAACCCATAATGGCTTATTCATGCCAACATAAAAACAGAATTAGATATTCTTACTGATTTTGCCCACATCAAAAAGATGTGATTAAGACCAAACAAGGTCTGAGACTTGTAAATTATACTGTTTTTTACTGTCTGATCTGATAATGAATATCGGGTACCTCCACCATGGCAAACAGATTTCAAGGACCAGGATGATGTGAGAAGAAGAAGATGAATCCAAGACAGCGGCACAGACATGGCAGGGTCTCTCCCAGGGTAAAAATGTGTTCTTTAGAGATTATTCCTGACCAGACAAAATCCTCTGATTATGTTGCAGGAAGCTGTGAGTAAAGAGTAGCAGCCTATGTAGAAGCAGTTCCATAGGTCCTTTTCAATATGTGTCTGATTTCAAACCAAACAAATGACACTTGGGTATGTGTTCCAGTGGTGGACTTGGCAGTGCAATGTTAACAGTTGGCTCGATGATCTGAAGGGTCTTCTCCAACCAATGACTCTGTGATTCTGTAAGTAGGTACATTACAGGTACAAAACAGACCAAAGGATTTCTGTCAGCAGGAAGCATTTATGCCTTGCACCATTTCTAGCTCTGGGGCAGGGCAGTGCTATTTCCTATACTTCTCATCACCTCACCCATGCATATCTCCCAGCTTACTTACAAGAGCTCGGAACCTGCAGGGTTTGGAGCGCTGATATTTGTTCAAGGTACCTCACAGTGCTTCATTCCAGTGCTGCGTAACTGCTGCTTTTGCCAGAGACAGGGTGATAGCGCTGCTGAAATCTGACAATTTCACATGAAGTTAGAGTTTGTAACCATCTGCCTTACTGCTACCATGAGGGACAAAGCACACTAACAATAATAGGATGCCATGTCTAACACCAATGCATCTTCACCTTCCTTAGAGATAGCAAAATGCACAATTCACATGCAGTCACGCAGTAAAGGTCAACCCGGAATTTGCTGGCATGATAATATTTGGAATCCTAAGATGGTGGCTTCTAGACAGACACAGCATCTTCTTCACTGTCAGTGGGACACTCTAGTTTGCTCAGTAGTTGAAGTAGCTCAGCACAGATTGTCTGCATCATTTTTCCCGCACAGTAAAGATCACCGGTCATTTCTTCTCCAAGATTCCCGACCACTTTCAACACGGAGTAGAGATGAGGCCCTGCAGACATCACCATGGGTAATGTGTGAGGCTGACACTTGCAGACTGTGTGTGCCATAGCTGTGCACAGTTTGAGCTGTACAGGCCATGCTGGAATTCTCCCCAAAGAGGTCACACCTCTTCCTGTCAAGCTGCTCTTGCACAATTGTTCACCGGGTTGAGCGATATCTCTCTTCACATTTCATATAAAATATGAGAAAAATAATAAAATTTGATACTAGGTTTTGTTCCAAACTTATCCTGAAAAAACTCCTCTCTTGAAGTACAAGTTAGTTTTTGGCAAAATGCTCCAGCCCTGTCTCTGCAGCAACACTGTGAACAAGAGCAACACTTAATTCGGTTAATTTCACAGGACAAATAACTGGAGACAATAACCTCCAACAAAGTTCTCAGTTGTATTTCAAATCAATCAGTGGCAAAGGGATTTAGAACAAAGTGTTTTGGTGCTTAAGGCTTGAATTTATTGGAGCTGTCTGGGTATGTCTGTCTAGGCAGAAAAAACAACATGCTCATAAGTCCCCTAATCCCCCAAAACAAAAAGCATATATTTGTGAGCTTGAGAGCGAGCATAAAGTGAGACTACATCAATAAGAATATATATGGTATCATAAACCTGCCCCAATTAGTACTTTATTTCAAATACATTAAATGTAAATATTGTTTTTCAATGTGACTTCATTTCTACCAAAAGTACTCTCATCACTGGGTTACAGAAGTGTTACTACACATCCTTCTGGCTCAAAGTATACTTGATTATTTTGTGAAATAGAAGTGACAGAGAGAATGTTGTTCTGACTCACTGTAATGTACAGGTTGGGGAAATTAATCATGGGCAATCTGGCCCAAATTCTTTTAGAGAGGGGTGGAAATGGAAGCCTACTCCTTCAGATGCTGGCTGATTATCTCTTGTGATACTGTATAAAGGAAAAGGCAGTATGCATTTGTCTTTTGTTTTATTTTATGAACGGCCATATTGAAATCATGATTCTATGTGCTAAAATCTAATGTCAGAGACTATGTCAAAAGAGCCCCATTGTTCTTTATTTCAAGAGTTTTTGTTTGGTAAACAAAATACTTTTTATCTTGATGCACTTAAGAGGCAAGTGGAAAAAATTAACCAGTTTTATAACAAACTGCAGTTCAGAAATCAGAACAATTTCCTGTATCTTTCTTATAAAATGTATCTTCGGAGTAATTTAAATCATGACATTTTTCTTTTTAATGATATCCTGCCTCACATACACCCCAGCTCCCCAGTGGCCTGCTGTTCTGACATCTCCATTGATTAAACTCTTTATTGGATTTAATACCAGTTGAAGAATGTTAATTGATGATAACTTTTGTTCATTGTTGATCTTAGACAAAATCAAACTAAAAAATTAAACTGTTCTTAGTCTCAATTAGAAGCAGAGTAGAAGCTCCCCTTAGTAGAAATAATTGTTTCCATCCCTGTAAATACACTAGAATGCCTTTTTCAAAGTAATACAATTATATAAAATAATAGTTCTGTCCTCATGCAATCACTGTATTAACATTTTAAAATGAAACTTTTTGAACTAGTAAAAAAATAGTAAAATTCCATCCATTCATAACAAGTATAAAAATCTTATGTTCAACTAATTGTTCTAGGAATCATTGCATGACTTTACTTCATAGATTTCATATATCTTTATATAGCAATTTATATTTGACTTTTACAGAACTTTATGATTACTTTTTCAGTTACTTTTGTGAAATAACTGGTGAGGATGGTGCAGAAAAACATTTCTGCCAATCTTGTTCTTTATCTTAGCAATGGATAGTACATGATAATAGATATGGTTAGTGAAGGCCAGGAACTGTGATGACCTACAAGAACCTGTTAAATGCTGTTCTTTTAAATATTTTTCTGAGAGACCAATGGGGAAACACAATCCTTGTGAACTCTGCTGGTACAATACCAAAAGCAATGAATACAAAGTTTTCTCTATGATGCTCCAATGTCTAAAGATGACCTACACTTGAATGAACAACATGTAGCACAAGCTACTAGGGAAAGTACAGTAATACAGAAAGGAAAAGGTATGGAAGATAAAGGAAAATGCATGGAAATGCTACCTGGTAAATGCAATATGTCCAGGCACTTGTCCAACTGCTGATAGATGGTATGGGATATTAATGAATATTTTTATTCTGGTAAATCTAGCCAGAGGAAAACTATTCCCCATTGTTTTATTGTGGGTTTTTTGGAGTTTTTTTGGTGTGTGTGTTTTTGTGTTTGTGGTTTTTTCCCCCTGAGTTCTGTCTCTGAATTACCAATATAGCTGTGCTTCTCAAGAAGAAGACAGTTCACAAAGTCCTTAACAATGGATGTGGCCAAGGCATTTTTGGCTGAAATAATGTATCAAAAGATTTTGAAGCACCGGAATAATCTTGCATATTACACACCCAGAAGAGCAGGGATACTGACCCCCGTTATCTCTTTACTTCATTTTTTGTCCTCCCCAGAAGTTTTTGTTTGTTTGTTGTTTTGTTTTGTTTTTTAATCATAAAAAACCAAAAACACAGTTTGGGTAAAAGCTTAAAACAGTGCTTTAAGCAGAGTTCATCCATTTTAGTCACCAGCCTTCACATGAATATACTTACCTTCTCTAGTTCAATGTATATTTAATTTTGGAAAAAAAATGAAAAAAAAGAAAAAAAGAAAAAAAAAAACAGATTAAACAAAGGTCACCAAAACCAAAATCAATTCAGACCATTCAGCGCCATGGCAGGCATACTAGATCTCAGAAAAGGAGCATTCAAGAAACTGCTCCACATTAGGAAGAGATTGAATCTGAAAACTGGTCTCTCACCATACACACATCTCTCTTGAAATGTCTCCTGCTTGGCCATTTTTGTGTGAGTCTGAAACAATTGGCTGCATTGCTAGTTCAGACAGACAGATGGGGTCCTGATTTGGGAGTCACTGGAGTTTGTGTGCCTGACAGCAGTTTTGTGATATATGCAGTAATGTACACCTCCAGGGCTTAAACTTGAGGTGTACAGCAGGTCTTCCTGGCAAAAACACTTTTTTATTATTGATTATTAGTTGCCTTTTTAGTCACCATCAGGACCAGGTAACAACTAAACACTGTTTTTGTGGGTCTAGGTTTTGGGTAAAAAATAAGATGTTCTCAACTTTCTGTAATGGATCAGACTTTTTAATGGGTATTTTAGTCAATACAGCACTGTGATGTTATCAAGCAAAAAATCAAAAGGTGGATTAACTAAAGACACTTAAAATCAACAGAAAAATGGTCTGGATCTGGATTCTTCCTTCTGTTTTCAATTAAAAGCTCAGCTTTTAATATTCCTAGAATTCCTTCTGAATTTAGCAGATTTGTTAAAGATTCTTTATATGTATTGCAAGTCTTTCCTTGCCTTCTTTAATTGGCAGTGTAACTTTCTTAGCCCAATTATCAATGTATTTTTTCTTTTAGGAAAACAAATTGATGATGAAGTAAAATTTCTTTTTTTTCGTGCCCTTGTTTACTTACAATGATTGCTGGAACTTGCTCTCATCAAATGCAGGAAAATTCAGACAGCAGAAGATATCTTTTTCCCTCACACTTTAAATCTCTTTTACCCAAAGTTCAGAGTAAAATCTTCCTTTCCAGGATTTTCTTAGTGTCATATTCTCTGTGTTTGTGCAGCATGTATCTGGTGACTTCTTACTAATTTCTTTCAAGTGGGTTTTTGGTTGCAATTTTTGTTGTTGCTGTCACAACTATTCGGAAAACAGTTACTCAGTCTATCAGTTTGCATATGCACTGTGCCTTTGGTAAGGGAGGATATTTAGTTTTAGTTTCAGGAGATGTAATGGTGCTTAACTGTTTATTATAATAATTTTTAATTATGCATCACAGTTATATATCCAGTGGCAGAGGTTTAAACCAATCCAGAAAAACAAAAACAAAAAAAAAAAAGAGAAAAGAGCTTCCCTCATTCTAATTAAGAAAAGAGATCCAGCAATGTTTAATTATATTAATACACAAAAATTAGTAGATGTGTCAAAATATTGTGAAAATCATATTACTTTTATGTGGCCACAAACCATACAGCCATAAATCAAACTCAAAGGGCACAGTCATTGGGTACACAGGATTTATTTATTTGCTGAAAAATTATGAGAACAAAAAAAATCCCAACAATTTCAACGAGGCCTACCTTTTTTTTTATTAGTATTTATTTTAATGAATCTAAAACTTGCATCTTAAAACAATGTCTTCAATTTGACAAAGACCAAATATAATCAAGTTCTTTCTAGAAGTATGATGAATAGTCAAAATCAAAGACAGTAAGTGATTTTTGACCTATATTCTGTTTGAAGCACAACAACTATCCAGTGCTGATGGAAAGTTGATGTGAACCCCATAAATATCCTCACTCTTTTAACATTTTTTAAGTTTCTTTTGTGCAATCATTACTGGGTCTAATAATAAAGCTATTCTGCTGCTTTACAATGAAATAACACTTGTGCCAGTACACAGAATAAATGTCACATACTCTTTACTAGGTGATAATGCTAAGCTATGCCTCGATGGCACAGAATCTGCATCTTGACCATCTTTAGAGGCCTAAAGAGGATGGAAACAAGATATAGCAATACAAAACAATGTGAGTATTAAAAAAAAATCCAGATCTGACATATAGACTCCATCAAGTACTTTGCATTTTTTTGTTTCTTTCCTGTTCCTTTAAACTCTTCAGCATGGCCAGTCTGTAAGTATGGCTCATTCTTCTGTATCCAAAATGACAAGTGGTAAGTTATCCTGGTGTATAAACAGAGAAAAAAATTGCATCTAGTCCGTGTATCCAGCTGCACAGTGGCACTTTACCTCACAGTTTTGTTACAAAAAAAGTTTAGTGCCCAATAGTTGAGCACAGAAATCCAGTTCCAAGATTGCAAGAAAAAAAGTGATAAAGATCAACCAATACGGAGCATAAGAGTTTTTGCATATCACGGTGTGTGAGTAAAAGAGTACCTATAGCATCCTGCACTTAATTCTAGAGTCTTTAGGGAAATTATAACTAAAACTGAAAAAGAGAGAGCTCAAGAAGCAGCAGTGTGTTACTTGCATGGCATTGTTTCTCTTGGGCCCATGAAATTTGGAAGCATTTATAGGGCTGGTCTGAAGCCAGCTGGATTCTGATGAATTTTAACCTCAGCCTCTCAGTTTCTGAAAATGAAAATACAGAAAACTTTTGGAAGCTGATACAGCAGTCCTGTGAAGACTGGAAGTTGGTCAATCCTGCCGTTAGCTCAATGTAACAAATTATACTAAGTAAATGAAACGTCAACCCCATCAGCTCGTGAAAAATTTCAGTCCAGAAGACTTCGATACAACAGAAAGTATGTATCCGATGCCTATTCTTGCTTGGCACAGAAATGAGCGGTTACAAACTTTTGATTTCTGCTTTGTAAAGTCTCATGTGGCTGGGTTTGAACCCACAATAAAATTCCTGTCCTGTTACCTCCAGCCATATTCATACGTTCTGGACTTTTGCGGAGCTCACAGCCTTTTCTCTTTGCTGCGTCTCAGCGGGAACAGGCCGGTTTAGCATCCTCTTGCCTGCTGCCAAGGATGGAGGCGGTTGGGGACGGGGCCCCCCTAAACTCTTCTGGGCGATAGCTTTTGCAGGACCGCGGCCAGCTTCTGGCTGAGGCTGCGCTCCCGGCCAGCCCTCGCTGCCCGCCGGACTGCAGGTATCGCCCCTGGGGCTGGTGCGAGGTCCGCCGCCCCCGGGTGCTGCTGCCGGGGCCGGGCGCGGCGCCCGGAGCGCGGCCGTCCCGCCCCGCGGGGTGCCGGGGAGGGGTGGCCGCCCCACGTCACCGCCGCCTGCCATAAATGCCCGGCGGGGCGGGAGCCGTGGGGAGAAGCGTGGAGCGACTCGGGGCGGTGGTGGCGACCCGGAGGCGGGCGGGGGAGGCGGCGGCGGCGGCGGCTGAGCTCGGCGGCAGCCCCGCTCCGCTGCTCCGCTGCTGGACACGTCCGCGCCCGCCGCGCCGCTCCCAGCGCTGCTCCGCCGCAGCCGGCGGGACAAGGCTGTGCCCTCGCCCCCCGGCCCGAGGCGGGCGTGGCGAGGAGGCGGGCGGCGGGGCGAAGCTGGCTGCGGGGAGAGCAGGCAGCCGCCGCCGGAGGGGTAAGGGCAGTGGCGGGGGGAGCATCCTCCCCGCAGCCCCCTCCCCGCGGCGGCGGGAGGACGGGCGGCCGGGCAGGCCCCACGGAGAGCGGGGCCGGGTGCGGGAGGCGGCGGCGCGCTGGGGAGCGCTCGGTGGTGCCCGAGCGCCTCTTTGTGTTTCCCTCCCAGCGGCTGGTCCGGTGTGGCGGGATTCGCGCCTGCTCACCCGGGGTGAAGGAGTGACCTCGGCTTTCCTACCTAGAGCGCTCGGTCGTTGTTAGAGTATCGCATTCTTGGAAACGGTACTACTTTTTCTGAGTTTTCGGTGCTTGGGAAAGCCCGTCTCCCCCGCTTTCGTGTACGAGATCGATACCTTTAGTTTCATTAGGGTTTTGGAAATCGTCAAACAAAAGCTTTAATCAAAGTCATATTTTGAAGTGCACTAAGAGGCGATATTTTGCATCAAGTTAATTGTGGATTTCAGTTTACTTTTTGGCAATGACTGTGAGCCTTTAACCTTAAGTTCCAATACTGGAAGACCTTATCTACAGTCTAATCTTCATTGATGTCTGGCTCTTTTTAAGTAGCTATGAAAAGCATGCTTTTTGCATGCAGGCACTGAAATGTGCATGCCAATGTAATGTGTAAAACCACTTGAACAAACTGAAGTTAGTAAGGCTGAAGATAAGCTCTCTTCCCAAATCAACAGTGTGCACTTTTAGAGTAAAAAATGCAGCACCCTGCTTTCTCCCCCTAGAACAACAGTTACAAAATCTGTATGAACTAGAGATTCTGTTGCTTCATAAGGACAGGCCAGTCCTTCAGTCTACAAATCACATTACTCTCTCTTATGCATTTGCAGCCAGCAAACCTGGAAGAAAGACTTTGTCTTGGAGCTAACTCCTGAACATTTTGAGATCATTCATCATGAAGTATGTAGTACAGGAATGGCTCAGAGTAACTACCTTGCTATTCATAGCTCAAGCAGTTTCTGCAATGGTTCTTCCCAATGCCACGCTCTTAGAGGAACTTTTGGAAAAGTACATGGATGAAGATGGTGAGTGGTGGATCGCCAAGCAGAGAGGGAAAAGGGCTATCACAGACAGTGATATGCAAAGTATCTTGGATCTTCATAATAAATTACGGGGTCAGGTGTATCCACCAGCTTCCAATATGGAATATATGGTAAGGAAAAACGGATAGTGACATGCAGAAAAAATGTTTTTAGAATAGTTGCTATCACTTTATAAAACAGCATACTTTCAGTCTTAGTTTGCTTGTTTCCTCATTTAAAGAACTTGTCACTGTTTGTCTTTTTTTTTTTTTTGTACAGGTATGAACTGTGAGATAAAGATGCTTGTTTGTGGATCAAGTGTCATGCTCTACCTATATTAATGTGTTTAATTTCTCATAGCTCTCCTAAATTTAAGTGGCAGTTCCTCAGTGTTAAGGGCCAATTTCCAAAATTGCAGTACTCAATAAAGTTGATTATAATTGTGACCTAAAAAGTTACCATCTGAGAAGAGTACTGAACTATGAAGTTTCACAATAGCATGCATGTATATTTTTCCCATGCTTCTAGGTTGGATGGAATTTATGAGCAAAATGAGAGTTTTACAACAAGAAAGTCTTCTATTTAAGTTGGCATGTGTTACTGGAGGGCTGCATATTTCTGTGTTCAGATTAATAATGTAATGCATAATATCTGTTTATTTTTTTTTTCCTTAAGAAGCATCTGTGTTTGGACTATTATTAGTGGCATTAAGTTCCATGTTTCTGAACTTTGTTTTTATGCCATAGTTCAAGGCTATTTCTATCTCTCCTTCCTAAGTAGATCAAATCAGATCATTAGAGCTTTTAAGAAGTCCAGAGGTTTGACAAAAATGGGCAACTTCTATTTTTCTGCACTTTTTTCCTGTATCCACACAGTATATTGTTGACTTATCTATCCATGCACCAGAGAAATAGCATTGTATAGGTTGTGTAGGTATAGATTGAGTTGTTTATATCAAATATTATACAGGTTTTTTGACAGTTTCCGTGACAGAAGTTTATATTAACACATTTCCAGATCAAAATATCTTTCCTAGACTGGAATGGTTTCAACTCTTTCAGGTTGGATATTTGGTTGAACTGAGCATGTATATGTCCTGGAAAAATCATGCTTGCTTAAACCATCAGTAGAATCATAGGATGGTTTAGGTTGGAGGGGACCTTTGCAGGTTCTCTAGTCCACCCCCATTACAGGCAGTTTAACTTAAGTTTACCTATATGAGTGTCACTGTATTATACTTATATAATTATAATAGATATTATAGACTAAGAGCCATCAGAAAATTAGTTCATGGAATCACAGGATATGTTGCCACATATCATCTCCAAATAAAGGCATAATAATACCTGAAACCCCTTTAACCTGTTCAGTTACAATTGTCTGCAGTATTTGTAAACTTTGTTTTCTCTTGTGACTTTTTCAGACCTTGTTATAATAGAGGTTAACATTTTGTTCCCAGTCACTCAGGTTGATTTTTTTTTCTGGGAAGCTCAAGAACAAGCTATTAAGTCTCTTTGTAAAAGAAGAATTAGGAAAACTGTTGCTTTCCTGTGTTAAAATACTGCAAGCCTTTTTCTTGAGATTCTGTGAAAGCGCAGCTGATTTGTAGTTATGCGCCTTTTTCCATTCCTAATGCCATACTACATTTGCCTGTCTTATATTTCTTGGAAAGGAGAATTTGGATATATTCACAGAAGTAAGGTTTTTAACAGCTATATTCAAAGATTCCTCCAGCACTGCACACACTTGGGCTTAGACTCTGTGTTAGGTCTACATCTGGAACAAGTTTTTTTGGTTTTGTTGTTTTTTCTGTGCTCTCCAATTATGCCTGAGCCAGAGAGTACAAGTAGCATGGAAAAACAATTACCCAATTTTAACATCAAGGATGTTACTCAGAACAGGGCAGCAGCTTTCAAGGGGGTGGGATTCAATTTTGGCATAATACCCAAGGGAACGAGGGATTAGGATAGGCAAGGGTTTGAGACCTGTGAAGGCAAAGGTAAAGTGTGTGGTCAGAGAGATAGATACCTGTGGAGGGACAGGGACCCATGAGAAGGGTCTGGAGAGAGCCTGAGTGGTCAAGAAGGTGTTGAGAAATCGTTGTGATGGAGAGAAAGAACATTTGAATAATAAATATGGTTAAGCTAAGACCAGTAACTGTGATTTGGATCAGAAGTTTGTGGTAGGAGGTTAAGAGCACAGAAATTTGCTAAGAGTGGCTATTTAAAAAGTCTAAACCTGTTAGTAAGTGGGGAGGAAGATTGTATCTGGAGGAAGCAGGTGGGAGTCAGTATTGGGAATGGAGACAGGAGAGTTTAGAAGCCTACTGCATGCTTCTTGAAGGAACTACATGCTGCTTGAATAGAGCAAGGAAAGGACAGGACTTCTGAGTGTATGCACATATATTTTTATGGTGCTCTTAGAGATTTTCCTTTCAGTGTCTTACCAAAGATAATTATTAGTGCTCCAGAAGAGGGAAACCATCCCTCTAAATGCTTGCCTGATGTTTAGTGAGATAGATGAGTGCAGCTGAAATGCTTTTGTCTACTTTTGATGTGGTTTATTAATATAGACATGCTGGCAAACAGGTCTCCTGCTACTGGCGCAGTCATGACCCTGTATTCATGATGAGACTGATCCAAGTACTTAAAGAATCAGATTTTGTTTTAAAAAATGTAATTTCAGTGGTTTTTTCATTCTGAGTCATGACACTGTCTCCCTGCATGGCAGAATCAGATAATTACCAGTGCTGATAAAAGAACATTGGAATGCATAACTAAGGAATGGGTGGGATGGAGAACCACGCTGGGTAGGATCTATTGGCTTGATTAATTACTCACTTACAAAGTCCAGACTTACCTTTGAGATAAGGCCTGCAGTGTAAGATCTTGGTTCTATTAAAGACAAACAAAAAACCAACCAAACAACAACAACAACAAAAAAAAACAACCCAAGGAAAGCTAAAAATTTGCATGACTAAGCTGTACACTCTTGCCATATGCTTTGGAAAAGCAAACATTACTTGGCTGTCATAGTTCAGAGACCTAAAGTTACAGTGCAGTAAGGTTCACAGTAGCTAGGTCTAATGAACAAAGCGTTCTCATGGTTGTCTGGCTGAACTTACTGGATGAAAAGTTCATCTTCCCGAGTACTGTGACTCTGGTGGTGAGCAGTAATGGATTCCTAAGATAAGAGGATAAGAATAAAGCATGTGAAAAGAGAAACTTCTGCAGTGAAGCACTCCAGCTTCCAGCAAACAGCAGCTTAGGGACTTCCTTAATCTGCTGTTGTTCTTTTTGCATCAGATGGAATACTCTCACATGGAATTTTCTTCATGAGTTTGAAAGCTTCTGAGTCCACTTGTATTTTTTAAATCCATGGCATCAATTTGCAGAGCTCTATAAATTTAATTATGCAATGGGTGAAAAAATACATTTGTTTTCCTTTAAACTTGCTCTTCTATTTGATGCCTTATTTTTCTTTATCGTGAGAAATAGTAATTTCCTCAGTGATGACAAGGTTTTCAGCTGAAGAATCCTATTTCCTTTACTTGAAAACTGTTCTATCTGAAAAGCTGTTCCATTTTGCTATGATTCTCCTGTTTTCCTTTTAATGCAAAGGGGACAAACCAAACTGTGGATAGTCATGGCATACTGCAAATTGTTATTGTTGTATTTATTTTCTTCACTTCCTAATAGTTTCTAACATTCTTTTACTTTTTGACTTAGTGTTCTACAGCTGACATGTTTTATAGAGCTATTCACAATGACTTTAAGATCTTTCTAATGTGCTAGAGGTCATTTACTACACTACTGTGTATGTAGAGTTAGCTGTTATCTCCAGCAATGTTCTTATTACTTTGTATTCATTCACATTGAATGCTATAAATAATTTTGTCTTCCAATCACTTAGCATTAATGAGTCTCCTGTCTTCATATTTTATTTTTCCTATCCTGTTTTCACCTATCTTAAATAGTAAATACTATACTATGTTATCTTTTCTTGGGCTATTGTGGAGAAGGTATGCTGCAGAGACCATGAACACATCTTGCAGGGAATCTGAAAAATTGTTTTGTATTCTTAGATCCCTTTAAAGTCATTTATCACTTCTTTCTTTACCTTATGATAGCTTGATTTTGTTTTTTTGCTTGTTAATTTTTAAGTAACTTGGGAACTCTGTGGAAAACTTAACTGCACTTAACCCTCTTCCACATGTTGACACTTTCAAGGTGTAATATATGGAGGACTAATTATCTGTATATTTCATTTTTTTTTTAGCTTACCCTATAAAGTCATCCCAATGGAAGTCAGTTTTAAGTCTGTGGTTTCTC